CTTTGTAATTAAGAACTAATTACTCAGTGCTTTGTGTGTAGTAGGTCTTACATTGGGGTACTGGTGACTTTGTTAGTTTGAGATAGGGTTTCTCCATATAACCTACGCTGGCCTCAGATTTGCAGCAGTCCTTCTGTCTCTGCCCCCCAAATGCTTGGAGTACATGTGTGCACCACCACACCTCATTGGTGATTGCTTTACCTGGTGACCTTCCACTCCCCATAAAGCCTGAACAAGTAAAATGTTTGGGAAAATATTCCAGAAAGAATGTGAATTTTTTTTGTAAACTGAGTCTCATATGTAGTCCAAGCTGGACTATATAGCCCAACCAGGTCTTGAAGTTAGAATTTCCCTGCCTTAGCCTCCCAGGAGCTGGGATTCTAGGCATGCTCCAACACGCCTGGCTAAGAACTATTGGACTGGCCACCGTAGTAAGGACATAATTATGCTCTAAGGGCTTAAGAAAATTTTAGGCCAAGGAAATGTAGCTTGCAACCTCAGAGCTTCAGCCAGGCCTGTCTAGAATCCCCCTGACATCTTCCTTCCTGTGGTTTCTTCTAGAAATTTCTGTTGTGTACAAGGATGTTGTATTGGCAGGGACACAGTTATCCAGTTTATTCTTCGTGGATAATGATGGTCACTGCCACTTAGTGTGTTGTTGATCTCTCCTCATTTGCCCTCTAAACCCTCAAGTCCAATCAGATAACCTTGAATTGATGCAGGGTTCATGTCTTCTAATGCTAAGCACTCTCACCATTGGCCTCTTTCTGTTCATTCAAGGGTCATAAGCACTTACCACATGGGGGCCCAGTTGCCATCCCCCACGATGAAGGTAAAGACAGCTATGGTGTTCTTGGCCCTCATGGTGCTTCTCTTCTGGTGCACAAAAGAAACAGGATAATTCCAGATACTTACTATGGGTGAGATCAGGATCATCTGGGCCCCTAGGATTTAGGTTGTGTCTTGGGCAAGAGGAGTCTTTGGTAGAAAAGACCTGCCAGGGCTGAGAGGATGGCTCGTCAGTAAAGCATGCGCTATCCAAACACAAAGACCTTAGTTCAATCCCCAGAACCCATGTAAAAATACCAGGCACAGGGGCACATTCTTCTAATACCAGCACTGAGGAGACAAAGACAGGCATATCTCCAGTGCTCTCTGGCCAGCCATCCTAGCCTACTTGGTGAACTCTAAGCCAGTGGGAGACCCCGTCTTAAACAAGGAGGGCAGTGCCTGAGGATCAGTGTCTGAGATTGTCTTCTGGCCTCCATATGCACATGTATAAGAATGTACCCGCACATATATGAATATATGTGAGTGTGCTTACACTTATGTACACATACACCACACACACAAGAAAAGACTTGTGAGGGTACAAGGGGATGCATGTGGTAAAGTGGGTGAAATTGGCATTGTAAGTGGCCAGTGGGGTGAGGTGGGCATACTAATAATGCAGGTCAGATAGTGATAATCTCTACTTTGAGAGTGAGCTGGAGAGTCTCTGCGATAAGGAACAAAGCCCAGCAAGGCTGTATAAACAGCCTGTGTCTCTGTCAGTGGCATTATTCTGAGTTACCTACTTATATGTGGACAGTGAAACTCCAGGTACTAGGTTATAAATCTTATTTCCTCCCTAGAAGTAACAGTCTGTGTCATAGTCTTTGTCTGAATAGATTTGTGCCACACCATCAAGGCCTTTATCTGCCAGGGCTGATGGATGACAATTATCATGCAAGGAAAGTTTCACCACGGCAGTTGCCACTCTCTGTCCCTATGTTGCTGTTAGTGAACATACCTTTTATGTATGTGCACATGTGTGTAAGAGTGCCCTTGCACATGTGTGAACATGCTTGTGGAGGTCAGTGGAGAACATCAGATGGTCCTCAGGAGCTGTCTACCTTGATTTTTGTTTATTTGCTTTCATTTTTCCTGTGTGTAGGGGTTCGTGTGTGTTTGTATGTTTTATATGTGTATACATTCATATAGAAACAGGAGGTTGATGGCTGGAATCATCATCACTCTTCCATCTTATTGGTGAGGTAGTGTATCTCAGTCAAACCCAGAGCTCACAGATATGGCTAGTCTCCCTAGCCAGTTTGCTTTGGGGATCACTTGTCTCTGCCTTCTAAGGCTAGCATTTCAGGCAGGCCACCACATTCACCCAGGGTTCTTATGCTTGGGTGGCAAATGCTTTAACTGCTGAGCTATCTCCCCAATCCCCACCTTGTTTTTTGGAGACAAGGTCTCTCACTGGAACCTAGAACTCACCAACTGGGATAGGCCAGATGGCCAGTGAGGCTCAGGGATCTATCTGCCTGTCTCTGTCTCTCCAGTGCCTAGATCATTACAAGCATGCACCATCATGCCCAGCTTTTTGTTGTTGTTGTTGTTATTTTACTTGGATTCAGGTTGTCATGCCTGCAGGGCAAGCACTTTATTGACTAAGCCATCTCCCCAGCCTTGGTGAACCCTCATCCTTGACCTTACTGCTGGAACAAGGACAAATGGCAGTTCCATGAAGCAAGCCTATAGTGAGTGAGTCATTTTCTTGGTATTCCCAGAGTCCCTTTGGGGGGCCATCCTTTCCCCATTTGGGGATGTGTCTTTTGTCTTCTATCTCTTCTTCAGCTGCTCTTGTACAGTATTACAAGAGCTCATAAAGGCAAAGGTCCTGTGCACTGTGTTCTAGCATCATAAAATGTACATCCTCGAACTTTGAGTTCTCTAAAAGGTACTTTTGACCTCAAACACATTTTTTTTTTTTAAGCCAGAATTACATTTCCATGTTGGGAGCTTGTGTTTTAAGCTTACTCCTGTAACTATGGTTATTTTTATTATGGTGTGAGTGAGGGTGGGTGTGCCACAGCTTGTGATGGAAGTCAGAAGTTAATTTTCAGGAATTGATTTTCACCCACCACAGTGGGTGAAGGGCATTGAACTCAGGTCACCAGGCTTGCCGAGCACCTTTACCCACTGAGTCATCTTGCTGGCTTATAACTACCCTTATTAAGGGCTGTCAGTGTGTTTGTTCTTGTCCCTAGAGCTGCTCAGTAACCACAGGGGTGGGGTGGCCTTTGGCCTCTGTAGCTCTCTTTGGTCTAGTTGAGACAGAGTGTCTGTGAACAGATATAGATAAAAACTTGTTAAATTATGACATAAATTGGGACTAGGGTTTACTGGAAGCACAAAGTAATCTCACCTGTTGTATGATAACAAGTCGTAGTATAACTCCTACCTGGTGGGGCCAAGGGCAGGATACTGGAAATCCTTTCTTACGTTTTGGGTATAATAAACCAATTATTTTCTCCTTGTTTTCTACTTAGAATTCTTACTGCATTTTTATTTTGTGATCATGTGTATATGTACATGTATGTGTATGGGTGTGTGTGTGCCATTGTGCTCTATCAGATTGGCCTGTAGGCATGTCTGTGAGGCATTTTTCTTGTTTGTCCAGTGATATGGGAGGACCCAGCCCATTGTGGGTGGTACTATACCTGGGCAGGTGATCCTAGGCTCTATAAGAAAGCAGGATGAGCAAAGGTCAGAAGAACAAGCTGGTATTACGGTATTATTGTGATCTGGCATTGTAAGCTGCAATAAGCCCTTTCCTCCCCACGTTGTTTATGGTCAAAGTGTTTTATCACAGCAATAAAAAGCAAACCAGGAGAGCTGTGCTATGCATGTGGACATCAGAGTACAACTTTCAGGAGTTGGTTCTCTCCTTCTACCATGTGGGTCCTGGGGACTGAACTCAGGTTATCAGGTTTGACAGCGAGCACCTTTTCCCATTGAGCCAGATCACTGACCCCATCTTCCATTTTAAAAGTTCCTTTTCTTATTCTTTTATACTAGGGAATTAGAAGATAGACAAAAAGATGGCTGCTTGGGAGGCTACAGGGTTGGGGTGAGCAGTTACTTCAAAGATCTCCTGGGAGAGAAATCTTTCACACACATGGGGTCCACCTATGATGGCCCCAGGCAGAGTGAAGCCATAGTCAGGGTTTGTCTCCAGAGCCTTCTTTTTGCCTTTAGGGTGACCTGTACTTGTCAGATCCTCAAGGTGGGTATTGGCTAAGTGAGGTCACAGAACCATAAACCTAAGGAAAAGGTAGTAGGGCTATCTGAGGTGGCATCTGAGGTGGCCTTTGTGCCTACCAGGCACCTGCATCTTAATCTGCTCTGACACTTTGTAGAAGGCCATGTTCTCCCTTCAAAGCATCACCACTTAAAAATACATTTTTCCCTCCAATGAGAACAGTGATTGCCCAACCTTCCTCAGGATGCTGATAAGCATCCCCGCACACCACCTGCCAGTTGTTACCAGTGCCACAGTCTGCTAGCGTTTGGTGTGACCATGGACTTATTTTCTCTTCTGTAATTATTAACCTAATATAAATTTGCTGATATAAATGAATTTATGGAACTACTTTTATAGCATTATTGTTATCGAAACCACCCAACCCAAGAACTTAGGCTCATCAAGAGTTTCTGCCTAAAGTTTCCTTCCTTACCCATTGCTCTTGCCTCCTGCCTCAGTAACTACTATTCGAGAACTCAAGTTCAGCATTTTCTTCCATCCATGGTCTCATGTAGCCCAGCCTGGCCTCCTGTTTGCTTTGTAGTAGCTGAAGATGATGTTGAACCTCTGATCTTCCTGCCTCCACTCCCCAAGTGCTAGATTATAGTGTGCTACCATGCCCAATTTATGTGCTGTGGAGGACTGAACCCAGGGCTTCACTCATGCTAGGCAAGCACTCTACTGACTGAACCACATCCCCGGTTCAGTCTCTCTTTTTTTCTACTCACTCCTGTGGTCTTACTGTGTGTAAACTTCTGTGTTTGGAACAAATACCTGAGCTGATAGCAGTAAGAATGAGGTAAATCATTTTGGCAGGTAATGAAGTTATAAAGTGTGTGTGTGGCGGGGGGGGGGCAGACTTCTGAATGGACTTTCAACTCTTATAAAGGAGGAGGCCCAAGCTTGTTCTACCCTTCTTCTACAGAATGACCCTGGGAGCAAGTGTATTTATGAAAGCCGTCCTTGCCAGACCCCACATCTACTAGCACCTTGATCTGGGGCATTGCAACCTCGGGAATTTGCAGTGAGTACCTGGGGCTTATAAAATTACCCTGTGTGAGATATTTGGTTGTAGCATTACAAACAGATTTGAAACTAAGACCCAAAGCTCTGTACCCAGATGGGATGGCACTGTAGTGTGTGACTGACCACCATGTCTGTAGCAGACATCCCCCTTTGTGTTCATGCATGGGAGTGTGTATGTGTTGAGAGGGACAGGTATGAGTGTTCTTGGGGAGTTCCCCTGGTTGTGAGTTAACCAATGCCTCAGAGTATGTTTAGCCAGGATCCGTGGATCTTTTAAAGCCATCTTTAATCCTATAAGGTCCATTGTCTCCCTGTATAACAATTATTTGGTAATGTTTTTATCATTGTCTTGAATAAAAGTCCTAAATAGTGGGAACCACTATTGGGGTTCATTCCCCCTCCTCTTCCCTCTTCCCTCCTTGCATTCTTCTTCTGTCCTCCTGCACACAATAAAAAAAAACAAATAGACCATCAATGCAGTTTCTAACTAATGTAAAGAAGCATAAAAGGGAAGTGGTGCATAATCAGATAGTCACTTCAGGGATGTGGCCCCTTGGCTAAAGCACTTGCCTAGCATGTATGAGGCCCTGAGTTCTATCCTAGCACTGCACAAACTGGATATAGTGGTGCATGTCTATAATCCTAACACTCAGAAGGATCGATCAGAAGTTCGAGGCCATCCTTGGGCATATAGAGTTTGAGAGGCGCCTGGGCTGTACAGTGGCACCCTGTCTCAAAACTAAAAACAGGTGCCGGGAATCGTGGTGAAGCCTTTAACCCTAGCCCTCAGGAGGTAGAGGCAGGTGGATCTCTGTAAGATCGAGGCCAGCCTGGTCCACATAGTGACTTCCAGGCAGGTTGGGACTAGGGAGACCCTGTCAGAAAAACAAAGACAACAACAACAAAAAAGCCCAAAAACATCAAAAACTAAAAACAGGACCAGGGAGATAGGTTAAAGGGTAAAACTGCTTGCCTCCAACCCCAGTAACCTGAAGGGGATCCTCAGGACTCATAATCAGATTCTTGTTTCTACTGATAGAATCGCTGGCAAATTTAACTTCAAATACTGGGTTGATCTGGGTGCTCAGATTCCAGGAGTGGTTTTATAATCAGTGATTGATGTTTTTTCCCCCTTCTTCTGTTTCTTTAATGCTTAATAAGTATGGTAAAATTCAGAACTGAGTAGTACATTCTTAGCTCATATATACGTGATAGTTGAAGAGTTGAATTCTGATGAGATTTTAAATACTTAACTTCCCCCAATGCATTTGAGTTGGTATGATTTGCATGGGTCAAAGTCTCTAGACAGCATTTTTTCATGTAGACTCCCTCCTTTCTAACGTAGTGTGAGATTTGATTGTGGAATCTTTGATCTTTTTAAAAATTACATTTATTTGTTATTTGTGTGTGTGTGTGTGTGTATACATGTCACAATGCATGTGTAAAGGTCAGAGGGCACCTTGTCAGGAGTTGGTTTTCTCCACTGTAAGGGTCCCAGTGATTGAACTGAGGTCATCAGCAGCAAGTTCTGCTGAAAGAAATGAAAGTTTCACCATGGAGCCATCTCAGCAGCCTGAAATCTTTGATCTTAATAAACATCCCAGATCATTCCAGTGTGGTAAGAAGGCCAAACTCTGAGGGATTATTTAGAACTTGGCATGTACAGTCTGTGTTCTCCCACAGTACTTGCAGAGGGTAGGAACACCCAGAACTTACTTATCTTAATGTTTAAGAACACTTGGTTTTGTTATCTTAAACTGAAGATCTGTGACAAGAATATAATCACATTGTCCAGAGATTCTCCTGTAAAGTTGCTGATGTTATGTGAACTGAAGTTCTAAGAAAAAAGCTGAACTCATGTTAAACATTCTGCAAAGCTGATTGACTGATTAGAACGCTAGGTCTGACCTGACATCCTTGTGACAATTATATGATATCTTTGGGAATGTATTAACTTAGTAGACACTACCTTCCACTAACCCAAAACTAAGACAGTTGTCCCATAGCATCTGAGGCTTACAGTAGAGATTTCCTTTTACTGTAACTTCTGACCTGCCATTTCACCTATGTATTTAAAAAGTGCCTGATTTATGACTTTCTTTGTTTGGTTACTGTACAAACTTCATGAAACTTTCCACATGGGAACATGGTACTTGGGGGTAACTGGAACCTTTGTGCAGGGGCATGTTCTCTAATGTTTGGCTCCAGAATAACCCATCTGTTATTCCCTTTGTGGTGAGAGCTATGTTTTGCACCAGTTGCCTCCCTCCTCCTTCCCTCTCCTCTTCCCTCCTCCCTCCCTGCATCCTTCTTCCTTCCTCCTGCATACTTGCAGTGTTCTAACGTTGAGTGGCATTCCAGCAACAGCATTGATTTTTGCATTAAATAAAATACAATTTGACTGGGGAGATGGCTCAGTGGGTAAAGCACTGGTCATCAAGTGTGAGAACCTGAGTTTGAATCTCCAGAACCTACATAAAGCTGGACGCAGTAGCACAGGACTGTAACCTCATGAGTCCTAAGGCCAAATGGGAAGCAGAGAAAGAGAATATCATCGGAAGCTCAAGGACAAGCTAGCCTAAGGTACACAACTGTAAGCAACTAGTAGCCTGTCTCAAACAAGGTGGAAGGCAAGAACTGACACCTGAGATTGCCCTCTGACCTCCACACACCATGTGCTGTGGCACCGATACACATCCACAAATGCATTTTCAAAACTGGGCATGGTGGTGCACTCTTGGAATCCCAGCACTCAGGAGATAGAGGCATGAGAATCAGAAGAGCAAGGTCATCCTCCACTACAAAGCAAGCTCCAGGCAAGCCTGGGCTACATGAGATCCTATCTCAAATAAACGTCCCCCACAAAAGCCCAGGACATGGCCTTTTTGAAACCTAGACCTACCCCGAGTTTTAGGGGTTGTAGTGAGTGTGAGGAGACTCTGGAAGAGGGCAATACTTCTCAACACTGGTATATAGCTCTGGACAAGTCATTTTACCTCTTCCAACTCTTGTGGATGGAAGATGAAGCACTGTAGATCCTTACATATCAGAAAAATGGGAAATGTCAAGACCATGATCAGGATAGACTATGTGACATTATTTCTTTATGATTTTAAAAGAAATGAAAGTTTTTGGAAGTTATGGGCCAGTAGGTGCATATACAGGTGCACCTCACTCCTGTCTGAGCATCCATCTCTTCGTCTGAAAAATTCAGCAATGGCAGCTGTTCTTGTGCTGGGGACTTTATGGCCCAGGACTTAAACCCTCTCAGATAGTTCCTCTCTGGTCCAGGTTGTACTGAGCATGCTTAGACCACCAGGAAGGCCTCTGCTGAATAGCAGGAGTTTACAGACATTCATTAAAAAGTCAGATTTTCCCCTTTGCTATAGGACTTTCCTTAATTATTTGTGTGGTCTATGCCCAGATTCTTTATCTTCTGATCTCCCCTCTCATTCATGCTGCCACTCATTTTAACACCCCCATTTTAAAACTTGATTTATTTCTATTTTTAGTATGTGTGTGTGTATATATGTGCACATGAGTGTAGTACTGACACAGGCCAGAAGAGGGTGTCGGGTCCCCTGGAACTGGAGTTGTAGTCAGCCATGGGTGCTGGGAATCAAACTTGTGTGTTCTAAAAGAGCAGCAAGTACTTTTAACCTCTGAGCCGTCTCTGCAGCCTCTTTGCCAGGCCTCCTGATTCCTGCCCTCTGTGAGGTTTGACAGTCCTCCCTACCTTGGAGAGGTCTTACTATTATGGGCTCATTTTTTTTTTAAAGGAAAACAAGAGCAGACACTCTAGACTTAGGACTGTTAGGAAGATTTTCTTACTGTTTATTTTAGTGCTCATTCATATACTTATGTGGGGTGGTGGTGTGTGTGGTACATACACTTGTGTATACATACACATGTAGGCCAAAGATCAATGCTGGGTGTCTTCCTCCAGTAACCTCCATTTTATTTTTTGAGACAGGGTCTCTCACTGAATCTGAAGACCACTGTTTTTGGCTAGACTGGCTGACCAGGGAGCTCCCAGGATCCTCCTGTCTGCCCCACTGCCTCCCAGTTCACTAGAGTTACAGATAGGAGCCACCCCTTCTGGGTTTTATATGGGTTCTGGGGAACCAAACTCAAGTCTTCATGCTTGTCTGCAAGCACTTTACCAATCCAGGTCATCTCCCCAGCCTCTTATTTATTTTTGAGCCCAGCCTGACCTCTAACTCCCTGATCCTACTGCCTCCATTGCCCCAGCACTGGGATTGTAGACATGTACTACCACACCTGGTTTATGAGGTGCTGGGGATACAATCAGGGCTTCATGCATGCTAGGCAAACATTACTGAGCTATGTCTCTAAGCCCACATACTCATTATTACTATTGTTGTTGTTATTTTTTGCATGTACATGTGTGGGAGTGCTTATGTGCATTTGGTGCATACGGAAGTCAGAGGACATCTAGTGGGAGTTAGTTCTCTCTGTCCTCATGAGTGTCCTGGGGATCTATCTCAGGTCATCAGGTTTGGTGGCAGCACCATAACCTGCTTTGCCATCTTGCTGGTCCTCCTGTACTCGTCTTTTAAAAGAGAATGAGTACAGCTGCTTCTGGCCTTTACAGTTGTGAGAATTTCCTTATATCCCTACTGGAGATTCTAAGTTCTGCCTAAGTACCCTTGTTCTGTACTGTGTTCCTGCTCCTGGTCAGTGAGATTATGTTTCAGGAAGTTGGACTGAGAGACTCAAAAGAAAACTTGGTGGTTAAGTAGCACAATACCCTGGGGCTAAGGGAGACCAGCGATATGAAGGAGCACAAACCAGACATAATGAAGGTAAGGAGGTCAGCCAGCAGCTGGTGGAGGAGGTGGGGAGAACTGGACATGCAAAAAGAGACAGCAAAGAAACCAGGAGAAGGGTGAAAATAGTTCCTGTTGGGACCAGAAGATCACTGGCCCTTAAAGTCGAAGACATGGACTCAAATAAAGGCTCCTTAGGCTGTCTTGA